AAATTCAATGAAAATGACCACACAACATACCCAAATTCATGGGACATGATGAAAGCAGTGTTAAAAGGAAAATTCATAGCACTAAATGCCTATATAAAGAAGCTGGAAAAATCCCACACTAGTGAGTTAACAGAACATTTGAAAACTCTAGAACAAAAAGAAGCAAACTCACCCAGGAGGACTAGAGGGCAGGAAATAATCAAATTGAGAGCTGAAATCAACAAAATAGAAACAAAGAAAACAATACAAAGAATCAATGAAACAGAGAGTTGGTTCTTTGAGAAAATCAACAAAATAGACAAACGTTTATCCAAACTAAGCAAAAGGCAGAGAGAGAATATCCAAATTAACAAAATTAGAATTAAAAAGGGGGACATAACAACAGACACAAAGGAAATCCAGAGAATCATTAGGTCATATTTCAAAAACCTGTACTCCACAAAATTGGAAAACTTAAAGGAAATGGACAATTATCTAGATAAATATCACTTACCAAAATTAAATCAAGACTTGGCAAGCAAATTAAATAGGCCTATAACAGTTAAAGAAATAGAAACAGTCATCAAAAGTCTCCCAACCAAAAAAAGCTTAAGGCCAGATGGTTTCAGCCCAGAATTCTACAAGATTGTCAAAGAAGAACTAATACCAATACTCCTCAAATTGTTCCACACAATAGAAACAGAGGAAATGTTACCAAACTCTCTTTATGAGCCTACAATTACCCTGATACCCAAACCACATAAAGACATTATTAAGAAAGAGAATTACAGACCAATCTTACTCATGAATATTGATGTAAAAATACTCAATAAAATACTAGCAAACTAAATCCAAGAACACATCAGAAAAATCATCCACCATGATCAAGTCAGCTTCATCTCAGCGATGCAGAGATGGTTCAACATACAAAAGTCTGTCAGTGTAATCCACCATATAAACAAACTGAAGAAAAAAAAACACATGATCATCTCATTAGATGCTGGAAAAGCCTCTGACAAAATACAACGTCCCTTCACGATAAAGGTCTTGGAGAGAGGAGGGATACAAGGGACATACCTAAACATAATAAAGGCAATATACAGCAAGCCAATAACCAACATCAAACTAAATGGAGAGAAACTCCTCAAAGCTATCCCACTGAAATCAGTAACAAGACAAGGTTGTCCACTCTCCCCATATCTATTCAATATAGTACACGAGGTTCTAGCTAGAGCAATAAGACAACAAAAGAAGATTAAGGAGATACAAATCAGAAAAGAAGTCAAACCTCACTGTTTGCTGATGATATGATAGTTTACATATGGGACCCCAAAAATTCTACCAAGGAACTTTACAACTCATAAACACTTTCAGCAATGTAGCAGGATACAAGATTAACTCAAAAAAAAATCAGAAGCCCTCCTTTACACAGATGATAAACAGACTGAGAGAGAAATCAGAGAAACATCACCCTTCACAATAGCCACAAATAACATAAAAAATCTTGGAGTAACTCTAACCAAACAAGTGGAAGATCTGTATGACAAGAACTTTAAATCTTTGAAGGAAGATACCAGAGAATGGAAAGATATCCCATACTCTTGGGTAGGTAGAATTATCATAGTTAAAAAATGACAGTCTTACCAAAAGCAATCCACAAATTCAATGCAATGCCCAGCCAAATCCCAGCAAAGTTCTTCACAGACCTTGAAAGAACAATACTCAACTTCATTTAGAAAAACAAAACAGAAAAAGCAGGATAACCAAAACGATCCTGTGCAATAAAGGGATTTCTGGAGGCATCACAATCCCTGACTTTAAACTCTACTACAGAGCTACAGTACCGAAAACACCCTGGTATTGGAATGAAAACAGACAGGAGGACCAATGGAACCGAATCAACAACCTGGATATTAATCCACACACCTACAAACATCTGATTTTTGACAAAGAAGCAAAAAATATAAAATAGGAAAAAGAAAGCATATTCAACAAATGGTGCTGGCATAACTGGATTTCAACATGTAAAAGAATGAAAATAGATCCATATCTGTACCATGCATAAAACTCAACTCCAAATGGATCAAAGACCTCAACATGAAACCAACCACACTGAATGAACCTCATAGAAGAGAAAGTGGGAAGTACACTTGAACACGTTGTCACAGGAAACCACCTCCTAAATATAACCCCAGTAGCACAGACACTGAGAGAAACAATTAATAAGTGGGACCTCTTGAAACTGAGAAGCTTCTGTAAAGTAAAGGATACGGTCAAGAAGACAAAATGGCAGCCTACAGAACGGGAAAATATCTTCACCAACCCCACATAGGACAGGGGGGCTGATTTCTAAAATATACAAAAAGCTCAAGAAACTGGTCATCAAAAGAACAAATAATTCAAATAATGCAAATCCAAACAACTCTGAGATTCCATCTTACACCTGTAAGAATGGCCAAGATCAAAAACACTGAGGACAGCTTATGTTGGAGGGGATGTGGGGTAAAGGGAACACTCCTGCATTGCTGGTGGGAGTGCAAACTGGTGTAGCTGCTTTGGATTTCAATATGGCAATTTCTCAGAAAATTAGGAAACAACCTTCCTCAAGGCCCAGCAATATGACTTTTGGGTATATACCCAAAGAATGCTCAATCGTACCACAAGGACATGTGCTCAGCTATGTTCATAGCAGCATTTTTTTTTGTCATAGCCAGAACCTGGAAACAACCTAAATGCCCCTTGACTAAAGAATGGATAAGGGAAATGTGGTACATTTACACAATGGAGTTCTACACAGCAGAAAAAAAATAATGACATCTTGAAATTTGTGGGCAAATGGATGGATCTAGAAAACATCATATTGAGTGAGATAACCAAGACCCAGAAAGACAAATACCATTTGTACTTAGTCATACCTGGCTTTTAGACATTAAAAAAAAAAGCAGCCTATAATTCACAATCCCAGAGAACCTAAACAGCAAAGAGGACCCTAAGAGAGATATATATATGGATTTTATGTACATGGGAAGTAGAAAAACAAGATCTCCTGAGTAAATTGGGAGCATGGGGACCATGGGAGAGGGTAAGAAGGGAGGAGAGTGGAAAAAATATATAGTTCAATATAAACAACTAAAAAAAAGTAAATACTAAAAATTTGCCATAAATTTAAATATATGCACATTTTAAGTCCTTGTCAAGCATAGCATTCTTGATAAATATGTATTTTACTTAGTCACAATAGACTTTGATATACCTTATAATTGATTCTTCTCAATACTACAGACATTTTCTTTTATGGCTACTGGATCTAAAAGAGACATAGAATATTTTTTAAAAATTTAAATAATGAGGGAACTAGGGAGATGGCTGAGTATGTAAAGGCACTTGCTTCCAAGCCCGATGGCCTGAGTGATGTCTGAAACCCACACAGGGAAGGAGAGAGTTGTCTCTGATCTCCCCCACATCACACCAGCACAATACTTACAAATTAAAAATGAGTATTACAGGGGTATTATACCACAAGTGGTGACAGGGTTGTTTTGAGTTTTGTTGTTTTTTTTTCATGTTAGCATCTGCCAGCTTTAGGATATGGCCTGTTCAGGATGAAGGTAGAAACAGACTATAGGGAGTTGGTAACACCGCACATGTAGAAAAGATGTGAAGGTTTGCACTCCACCAGCCTCAGCACTGGTGCCCACTTCAGGGCCGTCCCTAGTCTTAGGTCGGTAGAAGGGGCCAGGGTTAAGCCCTCCTGAGATGTCTGTACTGCCAGGCACTGGATGTCATTTCCAGTTCACTCTGACATCTTGATGCTCCAGTGACTCACAGCGAGATATAGTGAATTCAGTGGCATGTTACAGACCAAGAGCCTGCTCAGGATCCAGAGATAACAAGTAACAAAACCAGCATTCAGACCCCACTATGCCTACTGATTTTACTACACATGTCAAGACCTTAGCACCCCGAATCTGGGCCTATCCACGGTCAATCTGAACTGGGGCTCAGAGCCAGGCTTCCTCAAGCACTATCCTCAAAAGGAAGTCTAAGCTGTCTCTCGCTCTTTCTGCCACATGGATCCAAGGTTCAAATGAGTCAGTCATTAAAAGAAGAAAGAAAATCTCATGTACTAAGAGAAGAACATCAGCTCTGTATGTGTTCATCTGTGTGGTGTTCAGTGCCTCTTGGCAGTCAGTAGGTGTCATTTTTCATATGTGATTGCAGTTTGCTTCACCTGAATGTTAAATCCCTGAATTTCATAACCAGTGACCATCACCACCCCCTTTTCTCCAGGTAAGAGCAGAGTATTAGATCTTCACACCCCCTTCTCCCTGTTTTCAACTCGGCAGGATAGAAGTTGAAATCTGAGTTTACCAGGAGCATGGCATGGCTTTATCTGCTTTGTCCTCAAACATACTATGGTGATTTGAATAGGAATGGCCCCATAGGCTCGTATATTTGAATGATTAGTCATTAAGGAATGGCCCTTTTGTGAAGGATTAGAAAAATTTCCCTGTCATTGATGGAGTAGATGCAGCTTCATTGGAGGTAGTATGTCACTGGGGGTGGGGTTTGAGGTTTTACAAGCCCATAATGGGCTCAGTGTCTGTCTCCCTCTCCCTCTCCCTCTTCCCTCCCCCTCCCCTCCCTCCCTCTCTGCCTACTGATCAGGACATAAAAGTCTCATATACTGCCCCATGCTCCTTGCCATGACCATAATGGACTGGGCCTCTGAAACTGTAAGCAAGTCCGTTAGTTAAATGTGTTCTTTTGTAAGAATTGCCTTGACCGTGGTGTCTCCTCACAGCAATAGAACACCGTCTGAGACACACACAGACTTAGCCTCTGCCACAGGCTCCTGGACTCATTTTGTTACAAATTGCCAGTTTTCTTCCTACCCACAGTGGTCCATCATTGTTAGTGTAATGCAGCTGCTTGAACCTCATGACATGCCTAGTAGAAAACACCAATTTGTTTCTTTCCTGCGGCCTTGGCAGTTTATTGTCTACTCTTTACCTTTGCAGGCAGAATCCATGCTTGGTGACCAGAGCTGTGTACATTGATGTTCTCTTCCTGCTGACTAGCTGCCTGGACAGACCTGCAGAAGGCCAGCAGCCAGGTATGACTCACATCCTCTCTTAGAACGTCACAGGTCAGAGTTTTGGGCAGCTCTCCCGCACACTTGCTCACCCCCAGCTCAGAGTGTGAGACTGACCAACAGAATCTGTGTGGCCCCTTCCTAGAAGCATCTCAAGAAAGTCTGCCCTGTGTGCCTGAAATTTTACCAGTAAATATGTTCTATTTGGCCATTTAGAGAAGACTGAACTTTACTCAGATACATGTTTGAAGACCTTGGCCTTTTGATATTTTATAATTTTCTCTGAAAATTATGACATTTTTCAGTAATGATTCATTCTGTTTCATCCTGTAGAGATAGCTGAGCTGGCTCATTTATTGGTGGATATTTAAGTTCCTGTTCTTGATCTGCCCGCCACCACTTTAAGAGTTCTTCCTTAAAGAACTTCCTTAAAGTTTTTAAGAGTTCTTCCCTCAGACTCTGACTTCATACATGTCTCTAGGCCATGTGTGTATCTGATTTTAGATCCACATACAGTTGTTCTGTTTTAATTATGATTCACAAAGTGAATTAGAGAAGGACATCCCAAATAAAAATAATTTGATATGTTTATATAAGAGGCCTTGGGAAGTTCAGTACATGAGTTCCAGACCACAGTCAAACAAATTTTTACCAATCCAAAGTAGAAAGCAGGGCAGGATAATGAGCCTGCAACTGGTTAAAATAAGTCTCTCCTAATTGATTAGGCCTGTCCAAGGAGATTCTGGACAAGCAGGCCAGGCCTTTCCTATGTTGGGTTTAGCTTATCCATGATTTGTTGCCTTCAGTAAATATGTTCAGGCTGTCAAAGTCTAGCTCTGCCCATATGGAGCTCTCTTCCCAAATTCAAACCAATTTAAAGTGTTTTGTGGGATGGGGGTTAAAGCAACCTTACCCAGATTGATGTATATTAGCCCACAAAGCCCCTATGGTCACACAGAAGTAATCAGAACACAGAATCCTCTTCACATCCAGTAGTATAGGATCATACTAGTTAACAGGGACCACATCTTGGTTTAGCCAGGCATACCTGTAATCCCAGCACTGGAGAGGTAGAGACAGGAAGATCAGGAGTTCAAAGCTAGACTCAGCTGCTTGAGTTCTAAACTAACCTGAGCTACAGAGATCCTGACTCAAAAGAAAAAAAAAAGATAAAAATCCCAGCGTGTGCCTCTCATCACAACATAGCTATTAATGTTGCCCCCTTATATTCCTTAAAGTATTCAGGTTTGTACAATAAAATATGGTCTTTCTAGCTGCAACAAACCTATGTGCTGAATCTGCTTTAGTTTACACTTGAGTTAACTGGGGTCCAGAGGTTGTGAAAAGAATGTAGATCATGCTACCAAATAAGCTGTCCTAGATTTTTACCATTCTGTATTTCATCCAAATTCCATATCTGTGTCTGCAGATGTGTCTAAAGGCCTTATTACAAACCTCTTCACCAGGATACAGGCAATGTTGTGTTTTGGAAATCATTGGTCCAGCTCTGTATATATGGAATTCTGTTCTCAAAATGCCTTAAAGTGCACTGTGGGAGCCAAGGGCATATGAAACCACCTCACCCAGATGTGTGTTCTGTTTAGTCTGATATGAAAGGGTCTGTCCTTGAATATTGTAATGTACCTTTGCCTCCCCAGCTTGTTTCTCATCTTTTGTTTATTGACTCTATGAAGATGGATTTGAGGGGTTTTTTTTTTAGTTGTTCTCCAAACTCTTAGCATTAATTATGGCACATACCGCAATTAAGTATAATCACATACTATCTTTAGTAACTCAATAGCGTTTCTCATACATATATATTGCTCCTCTTAGCATCCTTTCTTATAAAGTAAGATATGGTGGGAGCAGAGTATTCTACCCTTTCTCTAACGTGGCAGCCATAGCTCTAAATGTATTGTATTTGCATTGCCCAGGGAGGCAGAAACTAGCCCCAAGTGGTGTTTGAGCATTTGATGCATGTAGCTGCTCCAAGTTGAGATTTTCTATAAGTATAAAATGTACAGCCTACTTCAGAGAATTCCGCTGTTAGGACAGCTAAGATAAGAGGACTACAAATTTAAGTCCAGCCTGGGTTACATATCACAACACTGTCTTTGAAATACTTAAATGAGCAGGACTGATGAATGACTCGAAATGTAAGGGCACTCGCTGCCCACCCTGACAACTTGAGACTGATCACCAGAACCCTTGGTGGAAGAAGAGATCCAACCTCTGAAAGTTGTCTTCTGACCTCCACACACTCACCGTGGCACACTCATGCCCACACACATATACGCAATTAATCGACAATTGATTAATTAGAGTTCAAATATTAAAACTAGAAAATTTCTCATTTTTATACTGATTATTTGTTGGAAAGGTAATACTTTGAAATCATTAAAATTTGAAATTTATTACTGAAATTAATTTCATGAGCCTGGTGGTGGCGGCACACACCTTTAATCCCAATACTCGGGGGACAGAGGCAGGTGAATCTCTGTAAGTTCAAGGCCAGCCTAGTCTAGGGAGCAAGTTCCAGGACAGACTCCAAAGCAACAAAGAAACTCTGTCTCAAAAAAGAAAGAAAAAAGAGAAGCAAAAAATTTCATTAGTTTTTTTTTCCACTCCTTAGTCAAAATGTGAGGAGCTGGGGTGTAGCCAGTGACACATTATATGCCTGGCATGTGCAAAGGCCCTGAACTCAATCCCAGCACAACAACAACAAAAAAAGATTCAATTACTAAACCGAGTATAATGGCTCACAGCTGTAATTCAGTATCTGGGAAACCAATACTGGAGAATGGGTTTGAGGCCAGCCTAGTCTACACAGCAAGTTCCAAACCAGCCACAGTTAAATAGTGAGACTTTGTCTCAAAAAATTAAAAACAAACAAACAAACAAACAAAACACTACTACTAAATGGGGGGGGGAGTAAGAAGATCAAAGCTATCACTGAATACGTGTGCTTAGCCCTCATGCAGAGAATATGCTTCATGCAACAACAAGTACTCTGCCAGTACTCACTGGCCCCTGTGGATTCCATGTGTCCACCGTCATCATCTGGAAATCTGCATGCAGCCTGTACTTGCAAGGCTATGGTCCTCCCTCACGCTCAGTTCTCCTCCCAGTGGGTAACATTTAAGGAGAAATGCTCACATACTTGTTCAGGCTTCAGGAATCTACTTGGTCACAGCTGTCTCTACCACTTGGACAAAGGGTTTTGTTTTTTACTTGTATTCATGAGAGATGCTAGTGTCAGATTTATGTCGAGCACACGTATCTAGAGCTAGTGTGGACTGTGCCTTGGACTAAGAAGGAAGCACCACAGAGAGGTTGTTTCTTCTTGGAGTTGGGAACTTTGTAGGGGAGGTCACAGCCAGATTTTGACAAATCACAGGGACTCAGAAGATGAACAATGAAGTGGATATTACCAACAGAGAGGGAGTCCACACCATCTTCAAAGAGTTGGGGTGTTTGAGGTTCAAAGCTAAGCAAGTGTTGCCAGAAGTGAAGCTGGCAAGGCAGAAACAAAGTCACAGAGAGCCCCAAAGACCAGAATCCAAGGAGCCATTTGACTGTATAAGCAAAGGAAGTTACTGTGTGTTATAAAACAGAGTGGAATTATGTGGGTTTAAAACAACATGACCTTTTTTCCCTCTATGCTCTTACTGAATTCTCAGCACCCTTAAGGAGACAAATTCTTATAAAGAACAGAACTGAAGATTTTTTGGGTGGTGCACTTTTTAAATGTTTTCTTTATGCTTTTATTTGTTTGGTGTGTTGTGTGTGTGTGTGCGCGCGTGCACGCACGCGCACGCATGCATATATACTCCCGTATCACAGCATGTTCAGAGTATGGTCAAAGGACAGCTTTCCAGCTTTGGTTCCCTCTTTCAACCACATGGACCCTGGGATCGACCTCAGGTTATCAGGCTTGGTGAAAGGTTGATGGAAGGTGCCTCTACCTGCTGAACCATCTTGCCAGCCTGCATTTACTTTTTATTGAGTTAGGATCTCGCTATGTAGTCCTGGCAAACCTAGAACTTGCAATGTTGAGCAGGCTAAACTTTAAATCACATAGATCTACCTGCCTCTGCCTCCCGAGTGCTGGAATTATAAATGCATCTAACAAGCCCAGCAGTACTGAAAATTCATTCACCAGCTATCAGGGATGTTTTGTTTGATCATCATGATAACCAGTATTGGGGCTATGGGAGACAGAATGGAAAGCAGGAGTGCTAAAAAGTATTTTAGGATAGTAGAGTTGTAGGACACTCCTTTCTCTTATTTCTACCTTAGTAACTTTACACAAGTCAGTTTCATTCCTGTGTACATACATACATTTTCATTACACGTGAGTGCACACACATTCACACACAACTATCTGGAGTTGGCTCTCCTCTTCTGTCATGTAGGTTCTGGGGATTGAACTCAACCCTATCAGGCTTATAGGCAAGCACCTCTGTCCACTGAACCATCTTGCCTGTCTGATGCAATTACATAATAAATGTATTTATAAATGGGATTAATTACCAAAAATAATAAAGTACTATTTTCAAGGAGATTTAGGGTTGAGTTTTAGGTGGAGGTGGCTCTCCCCACCTCTCTCAAACTTGTTCTGTAAGTGGCATTAAAAGGCTATTTGTATTGCTGAAATGTCCTAGAACTACCATGAAGGACTGGGGACACAATGAGAAATACCCAGAAAGAGAAAGGCAGAGAAGATCATTAGAAAACCGTGTATAAGCCAGGCAGTGATGATGCATGCCTTTAATCTCGCACTCAGGAGGCAGAGGCAGGTGGGTCTCTGTGAGTTCAAGGCCAGCCTAGTTTATAGAGCGAGTTCCAGGACAGGCTCCAAAAAGCTACAGAGAAACCCTGTCTCAAATAACAAAAAAAAAAAAGAAAAAGAAAAGAAAGGAAAGCAGGAAGAAAAGCGTGTAATAGTGACATGTTTTGTGTGCTTCAAACATCTATCATAGTACTTCTAAATCTTCAACTGAATCTTTTAAGGTTTCCTC